TTGCTGGGGGAGGTGATTTTATTATTATATTTTGAAATATAATTCATGCAACTCTATGACCACTTTAAGAAAATTTACATCTTACGAAAATAAAAAACAATTTTTAAGACATTTTAAATTTGTTTCTAAAAGACACCTTAGCACTCTTTCTAACATATTCAGCCAGTAGCTCCTGCAAAGAATTCATTAACTTGGATTAACTGTTTTTATTAGTAAGTTGGATGTCCTAGAAGTGCAAGGCTTTGAAGATGAACGGTAATAGGGGTATGTAAGTCTTGAGGAAAGAGAGAATATTGGATAATGGTGTTCTCGGGATATTGTCCAAAAACGTCCCAAGCCTCCGAGAGACAAAGAGAAAGTATGAAATACCGGAGGGATAATGGAAAAAGAGATAGAATACCATGCAGACCAACTTTGCTGACATAAAAAATGTATCGGGATTAGCTCTCCTCTGCTTCCCAATAGACTATATTCTGTATCATCCCAGTTCCAAAATGAGCCTTCCCTCTCCCTCTTGGCCCTTAACCAAGAGAAATAGACTGAACTGGTGAACTTCTAAAGGACACCCGACCCCGAGAGAGCTGCCTCTGGAGCCATTCTTTCCTGTATTTTCCCATCACCCTTCTGTTTCAGTCACCACTTGGCAAAAACCAACTGAGAGGTGACTGTGAATTGAATTCAAATTTGACTCCAGGAGGGAAACAGGGCCCTCCAGTCAGAGCCATAAACCCGAGAGAAAGGGCACAAGATTAACAGGTCACTGAGCCAGCCAGGGCGAGGAGCCAGGAGGACACCCACCAAGAGAGAGGCAGAGAAACGGTTAATAACACAAGGTGACAAATTAAGCCGGCTACTCAGGGGCTCCAGTTTGGCTGATTGTGAAGTCAAAACAGAACTGTCGGAAACCAGGAAGGCACTGTCACTTTTACTGTATTTTTCCACACGTAGTTTTATTTTATTTTTTAATTTGGAAATGTTCGTGGGGAGCTGGAAAATGCAGGCTGGAGGACTCCTGGGGTCTGGGAGGGGAGACACTGTGTCTTTGCAGGATCGCCATCCAATTTGGACCAGCCGCTCCCCCGGGCTCCGGCCACCAGGGGCAGTGGGTCTCCTAGTGGTCGGTCCTCTTCTCTGTCCTCTGCCCCCCACCCCGTGGAGACATTCTCACCTCCTCTCGTTTTCACCGCCCCTCTGTGCCAGTGTGCAGCCTCCTGCCAAGTTACACTAACAGCGTTCCCCATCCACCCGCCACACCAGCTTCCTTGCTGCTGAACCCAGCAGCTGCTTAAAGGGAGCAGATGGAGAAAGGCCTGGAACTCCCAGGCACGAGAGAGACCCTGGGCGGAGAGGCAGAGGAGAAATAAAACGCTCTGCACTGATCCGAGTCGGTATGTGGCAAGCACCAGGCTTCCTCAATGCCTCACATTTGAACAACTAGCCCATGTGCATTCCCTAAAAGGAAAGGGTAAGCTCAGGATGTTTAAAGCGATTGTGGGCCCCATTTCAGGGAAAGTGAAAGAAATTAGGATGAACTGTGACAAAGGTATTCTGAGGTTTACCTGCCCCTTGGAACTAAGAACCTTTGAGCTTCTTAGTGTAACCTTCTAGGCCTAAGTTGTTACTGTGCACGTACTTTCTAAGTTAGAGGATGTATGGTCATCGCAACTTAACATTTAAATGATACTGTCTACATCAGAGGATATACCCTCTGCATAGACTAATCTTGCAGATGATTTTAACTCCTGGTAGCAGGATTGATGACTTTAATATTAAAGACAAATATGGTCCCCACCACTACACACACACACACACACACACACACACACACACACACACACACACATTCACGGTTTATTCTACAGAGGTATCTCCACCTGGCATTGCAATTTCAAATTTGCAATTTAATGTCATCCATTCTGAAGAAGACAAAATGGTTTTACTAAGTGAATTTTAAGCAAGACAAAAATGGAGAGAAGGCAGCACACACAGATGCAGGCATGTGCAGGTCACCCCCCCCACACACACACACACACCCTTTCACTCCCCTTTCCCTTCCTGTGAACACCACTGAGCGCCCAAAGAGCACTAGATTTGAGAACCCCCAAACAGCTGCTGTTTTTGAAATGGCTCAGCTAGGGAAATGCTTCCCTATCATCAGGCCAAAGCTGTAATGCTCAGGTCCTGGGTTTCTTAATGATAGTTTGGGGCAAATGCCTGGTGGGTCATCGCCTGAAGACCTTAGCCCCCTAGTTGCAGTCCCTGACCCTATCTCATGCAATAGTGCAGAAACACAATTCTCCCATTGTTCTCTGACTTGGAGATTTGGGGGGAAGGGGAACACAAACCCCCACCTCGAAAAGATTAGTGCAATTATTAGCCAACAGTAATGGCTATAAGCCAATCTGTTCTCAAATCCTCCTGAGCAGCAAGTCACCTTAGAGTCTCTTAAAGCCCCAAACACAAGACTGTGTGTTTGCTTGAATTTGGCCATGTTGTTCTCGAAGGCTGCAGGGCCGGTGGTTAATGCTGCCCCTACCCACAAGGCTAATAAGCAGAGAAGGAAACCGTGAATAACGCGTGTGTCTGATTTTAGTTAAACCCTGGGTCCCCATGCCCCCATAAGTCTGTAAAAGGCAGATGTCCGGTCCACACAACATTGGCAGCCGCCTCACCTAGTGTTGTTTGGGCAAAATGCTTGTTAGAACACAATCATAGATTGTGACTTGTAGTTAGCATTAATTGTAGAATTCTCGAGCACTGACATGCTTTTTCCTTCTGTCACCTTATAGGAATAGATCTTTTCGACCCCTGTGCTACCATTAGCTCTGCTGGTCATTCAAAGTCTCCCATTAGGAAGTATGAGAAAAAAAGTTAAATTCTGTTCCAGGACTTGGTACACCTGACTTACACTGCATGTGTATTTCAAACTGCAGTGTCAGAGAAATGAGGTCTTATCTTAGACTGCCCAATGTGTATTGATTAAATGTAGATAATGATGGGAAATACAAAGAAGAAAAATTCAAGGATAGAAAAGTTTTTTATATATATATTTACATAATGCCAAAGCAACCGATTAACTGACTGGATTTAAGTTGCTGATCAATTAAGTGAGACATTAAGACAAGAACCTGTCACCTGAGTCAAAAACTGACTACTCCACTCAAGAAAGCACACCCCTGTGTAAATAAATATAGAGGTGTGTATCAACATACATCAATATCTACAGTCCAGGGAACTATTCAACCATTCCTTCAATCTTCAAACCATGACTGAATCCCTACTATGTTCCTGGCACAGTTAAAGCCAGAGGCTTGATTTATTTTAGAGTCGCCATATTAAACATCTCTTATTTCTAAAGAAATTCATACTGCTTAGAAAGCACAGGCAAAGGAAAAAAAAAGCCTCAAAGCTGAGCAAATAAAGAAGTAATTTTCTATGCAATGGCAAGCTGGGGAAGCTTTCAAGCATCTATGGTTCATTATTGGGAATACCTATATTAAACTTTGTACATGTCTATGAAATACATTTATGAGGTATTAAATATAACCCTGTTCCTACGAATTAATACCATGTCTTTGCAGCGTTCAGCCTCATTTCTCACACAGCAGGCTATCAGAAAACTCTCTGTTGAAAAGTCTGGAGCCTGAGTCTAAGTCACCAAGTTACAGTGACTCAATATTCTCCAAAATTTATTGTCATACATATACTTTAACAGAACAAGCGATATACTTCTATGCTTGTATACACTTCCCACGATGTACATTGTAATACATACACTTAAACACACATGCACACACAAATCTGTCTGTCCTCTGGGAAGGCTAAGATTTTAGTTAAACCTCAGAAAGACTTCTGCGTGATAATTGGAAGATAACCGAAACCCCTGATGATTCATTTCCTCTACTCACAAGATGGAGGTTAATAAAAATAATAATAAATGGGTCATTTGGAAAGTACCTAAAATCCTGAGGCTAAATGTATTGTGTAGATAGAGGAGAATCTAATGTTATAGAATGTATGCATCAGACCGCTCTCTGGCATTATTCACGGGTCATAAGATAGATGGGAATTTATAACTACTAGAAGGATTTTCTCCTCGGAATGCCTAGAACTAAGCAACTGATGTCATCACTGTCCGTAAGCCATATGGCATTTTTAAGGCTTTGTCAAGCAAATATTTGAAGTGTGCATGTCACATTCAGTTGGGCATTTCTGTGCAAATACAAGCACAATCACAAGTCCATTGAAACCCTGTACTCCTCTCTGCAAAACCGATATAACTCCGTTCATGTCTGTTACTTGATTATATACCCGGCAACGATCATTGTGATCCAGGGGAAGGAGAACAAATAGCAGAGCAAAGAATATTGAGCCTCTGGGAAACACAGAGCCCCAAACCCCTGGGTCCCACTTTCAACTTTAGTTACTTGTCAGCCCAGAGGCCCAGCCTGTGGGAACCCAGCTCACCAGCACCTGCATGTGGATGAACTTTCTAGATAAGTGCCCTGGGTACTAACACGCCGCAGGAAATCCAATCCACAGCTGGTGCCGCTGCTCACTCACTTAACTTTCTCGCCTGGGCAACTAGGCAGGGACACTTCACACTTTCCAACAGCTCCCTTGTCTGCTTATGGGGAATCATGTAGATTGAGAGCAAAGAAATATACAGGAGGCAAGGGCAGGGGACAGAGGCCTGGCCAGGAGCAAGAAGACCCGTGGCAAGAAAGCCTGCCCTTGGGGAGAAGAGTCATTCATACCTCTCTCCATCAATCCCTTGCTGATTATCCTCCTGAACTCCCTTCCCCCAGTTCCTACACATCAATACAATTCCTTTGTAGAGGCTGGCCTGCTTCTCCCCCAGCAGGTGGCCAGAAAGGGAGATTGCGAATCACCCCTAGTGCCTACATCAGGGCAAACATAGAAGAAATGAGGATCACAAGTGAATCATCTGTCAAGGTTGGCAAAAACAAGATTCAACTGACAGCTTTTGAGCTACTCACCCGGATCTGGCATGAGGCTTGACCAAGTCAGGTAAAACTCCAAAATCCAAATGAGTAAGTCCAAGAGTCTCTACCCTGCCATGTTTTCCTCTGCCCCTTGGCCATCGCATGTGGTTTAGCTGACCAAGGACATGGTCCTTTTAAATTCAGCAAGGTTGTAGAACTCCCGGATCTCAGTCTAATTCTGCCTACGATTCCTCAGTCTCGAAGCTGCTTTTGAAGCCCGAAAGCACGGCGGTGGAGTGCAGAATGCTTTCTCCAGACATTAAATGAGCCCACAGAATACCTCAATCTGATCTTTTATAGTGCTTTGTTTATTACCTGTGTGCCCTTATTTCATAAGGGAACTGAGAAAGAGAGAGAGAGAGAGAGAGAGAGAGAGAGAGGGCAGGAATGATGAAGATGACTATTAGTAGCAATCCAAAGACACCTTTTCTTAAGCCTCATTCATAGCAGCAAACGTGGCCAAACAACCTAGCAATTGTTCTCTCAAATGTCACCTTTCTGTATGGGCCACTGTGCCGATAAAACTGGGCTCTCTCGTTTTCTGCTCCCCCTGCCGCCCCTCCCTGAAAAATTACGATGTTATCCTCCAAATATCTCCAGAGAAATTGAACCGACAAGGAAAGCTTTTCTTCTTCTCCCTCCCCGCACCCTCCTCCCGTTTTTTCTTTCTTCTTCACGCAGCTTGAACAATTTGGCTCTGTTCTGGGTGCATTCCTGTGGCCCATTCTCTTTTGGTCCCCTGTGCAGGCCTGAGGACGGTGGGCCAGAACACAGGCCCACATTCAGACCCAGGATGGTGCTTGGGGGGAGGGCCTGGGCGGAGGAAAGTGAACCAAATGTACCTCGGATTGTTGCGCCACCAACTTAATACCTGGGCAGAAAGACAAAGGCTCTTTAGAAAGAGCCGGAGCTTCGGGGGAACCCATCCCCCCATTCTCCCAGAGTTCAGAAAGATAACAGAAGCTGACAATAAGGCGCTCACATAATTAAAGTTTTCCAAGTCATTTCAGGGGACATTACACATGATGACAGAGGACTCGCTGCTAACCCTTTTTGATGAACAATCTCTGTTAAGAAGAGAACCTTTTTCTCCTTGTGCTTGTATCCTTGTGAGCCCAGGCCCATGTGTCTGCACAGACGCATCCATGTTTCGTCGAAACGCCTTTTTACATAAGCAGAGGCGTAACCATTGCTTGGAAATCCTCTGATTTCAGGGGAACCCACAAAATGAGGAAGCCCTCTCAACGTGAACTCTCTTTTATTCTCAACGAAGGGTATGTTGGCATTTTAACATTTTTATTCGTATAAAAATATTTTAACATTTTAACATTTTAACATATTTTATTAAAATATGTTAATATTTTAATGTTAAAATATTAACATATTTTAACAATTTTAACATATTTATTTTTGCTTGGGATCCAGAATTTGTACTTGCCCATATTAGAGGGTAGAAGGCTTGGGAATCAGGTTCTGAAAGTAAAAGAAAATTAATTCCTGGGTCCATACAAATCATAAGTGTTTAGAGGGCCTTTCTTCCTAATGAGGCAGGTGCCACACCTGTTAATACAGTCAGACCTCAAGAGGCAACGTCAGGACAGCACCTCATCATCCTTAGCGTCATGCTCCTTAACCAAACTTTTATTAAGAGGAAGAATTTTTAGCCAGAAAGCTGGAAAGCCCTGACACAAAGAGCCAGGCCTACAAGACAACTGGGAAATGAAAAGGGAATGAGTGACTGGGCGCAGTGGCTCACGCCTGTAATCCCAGCACTTTGGGAGGCCAAGGAGGGTGGATCACCTGAGGTCAGCAGTTTGAGACCAGCCTGGCCAACATGATGAAACCCCGTCTCTACTAAAATTATAAAATTTTACAGCGCCTGTAATTCCAGCTACTCAGGAGGCTGAGGCAGGGTAATCACTCTACCCTGGGAGACGGAGGTTGTAGTGAGCCGAGATCGTGCCATTCCACTCCAGCCTGGGCAACAGAGCAAGACTCTGTCTCAAAAAAAAAAAAACAAAAAAACAAAAAAACAAACAAAAAAAGAGAATGGAACAAGTGTGCACCTTAACACCAAACAGGACTTCTGTTCTCTTGTAAACAAAACACAAATACACACTTAGACCACTGCTCTAAATCACTGCTTGTTTTTCAAGAAGACTATTTGCTCCACGAGACAGGGACTATGTCACTGAATCCCCAGCATCTAGCACATAGAAGTACTCAGTAACTCTCTCTGAATGTTGAAAAATTCCAGATTCACGAGGAAGACGAAAACAAGTATACAGTGGTATGCTGGAGCTGATCCATACCCACTCACAGGAGCCGATTACTAAATTTACGAGAGTTTTCTGAGCCAATTGTTAAACCTGGCCTCTATTAAAAGTTAAATTCTATTAACTTAAAATTAGACAAATGGTATTAAAAGCAAAGGCAATGAGCTCATCACTTCCTTATTATTTGACTATTACCTATGCTCTGGAGGTTGTTTAGATCTGCTGTGTTTATATGGTGGAAATACTGTGTCCTGGGAACTACCATGCATATCTACTCTGCTCTTATTTCAATGATGTCACATTTTTAGCTTAAAATAGGCCATGGTGAGAACACTGACACCATGGAAATCTAAAAATGCCGTAAATCATGGTTTTATAGTTTTGTGATTGTCTAGACTTGAGACAAGGATGAAGAAAATATTAATACAGATTAAACATAGAAGTAAATCATGTCAAGAGTTTTTACATTGAAAGTAGCAAAATAGCAACAAAAAAAAGTTAAGGAAATATTCTTCCAGTATTCAAAAACTACTTCTTGATCGAGAGAATAAATCACTTACATCATTGACTAAGGACTGACCTTCCAACATACATCTTAATTCTTTCATTTTTTAATTTTTCTATTTTTAAATTTTGAGACAGGGTCTCACTCTTTGAGGCTGGAGTGCAGTGACATGATCTCAGCTCACTGCAACCTCTGGCTCCCAGGTTCAAGCAATTCTTGTGCCTTAGCCTCTCAAGTTGCTGGGATTACAGGCGAGTGCCACCACCTCTGGCTAATGTTTGTATTTTTTTTTAGTAAACACGGGGTTTCACCATGTTGTCCAGACTGTCCTCAAACTCCTGGTCTCAAGTGTTCTGCCTGCCTTCCAAAGTGCTGGAATTGCAGGCATGAGCCACTGAGCCCTGTCATTCTTTCATTTCTCAACAGACATGAAAATATCAACCAGTATTTATGTTGGAACTATACTCTTTCACCAACTGCGAAAGAAAAAAAAATCAGTAAAATGCTTTTGTGAGAATCAAGCAGGTATATGGAATGTATAATAAAGGGTATTTCATATTTTATAATTATTTGCAAACTGGGTGCCACACATTCTTTTTATCAATAAAATTTATAAATTTATATCTATATATATTTTTATTGAATATATTTTTTGAGAGCAGGTTGTTAAATATTTACCATCATACTACTGTCCAATAGCATATGTATATGTAAGGAAAGGGGGTAATTTGAATAATTTATAGGATAATTAAATAGAGGTATAGGATTATGTGCATATGCACATGCATGTATGTGTCCAGTCCATCATTTAACTTGGGGTTAGTAGAGGCAGATCACAAAACACAGAGGCTATTGGTAGAAAAATAAGGCAACATGAGCTACTCCTACCTGCCCTACTGTTTCATCAGGGCCACTAAGAACAAGACTTATCTAAGGACAGGCAAGAAACAACACAAAAACCAGAAAGACAAATACTGCATGTTCTCACTTATAAGTGGAAGGTAGCAATGTGTCCACATGGACATGGAATACAGAATGATAGACACTGGACATCTGGCAGGGTAGGGGAGTGAAGTGGGGGCAAAGAATGAGAAATTATGTAATAGATTCAATGTACATTATTCAGGTGATGGCCACACCAAAAGCTCAGACTTCACCACTACGCAATATATCCATGAAACAAAATTGTACTTGTTTCCCTTCAAACTTATACGAATAAAAAATGAATTAAAAACAACAACAAAGGAGGCAAGAGTACACTCCTAAATTTTTCACACATCTGGATAGTGTTTTATAGTTTTCAAAGGATTTTTGTAGAAACTATATCATGAGTCTTATAATTTTCTCGTGAGAAAAGTGAAGTAGAGTGTATCCACTTTGCGGATGAGCATATTAAATCTCAAAAGGGTTACGTGGTTTGCCCAAAATCACATGATGGAGAATGGCTAAGAACAGAACCCAGGTTTTCTGATTCTCATGGGAAAGTCAAAATGCTCTTTTTGGAACAGCTCTTCTGGAAAGTTCTATCCGTCTTAGACCTCAGTGTAAGCAAGGAGGCAATTCAGTGGGAAGAGAGGGAATCTGAAAGCCATGCTGTCAGTCCCAACCAAGCTTACTAGCTGTGTCTCCTTGGGTAAAGAGCATCTAATATCAGAGCCCAGGGTTCGAACTGTCTGTGGACCCACTTCAGCCACTGCACCTCCAGTCAGAGTAATCAAATTCAGTAGACTCATAACTATCACAGAGTCGAGGTCCCACAACACATTGAAGAGAGTGCTGGTTTTCATACTTATTTTCAGAATAGCAAAACCCTTTCTATATTTTCCAGCAAAATCCTATTCGAAACAGTAAAATATAATTCAGAGAAAAGGAAACGTTTCTGTGGTTAAATGGGAATGGTGGGATGATAGTGGTTGGTGACTCCTGCTGGCTGTTCATGAGGACCCTAAAGCACCCCCAAAGAACCCTAAACTCCTTGGAGCCCTTTAAAAAATACCTCACCTTAGGATTTAATGCCATTGAGGGCAGTATGTTTGTGTTGTGTTTGTGTTATATTACTATGTGTGCCTGTGTATGTGTGTGCATGTGGGTATAATGAGGTGGGCAGAGGATTCTACCTTCTAACTGATATGGTTCTCCTCCTAAAGCCTGGGTAGGTATCTTAGAATCTCCTGCTGCTGACCACAATAGACCAAAGAGAACAAGTCATTTGGGACAACTGGGTAATATATGTATATATAGCTCCAAGCATACACCCTACCACAGCAAAGCGAGTAGTGAACCTGCTTCCATAATAATGGTTAATGGCACTGCTGGTTAAGAGGCAGGCACTGCTCTTTGCACTTCAAGTGTGTTAGGGTTTCAAATGTTTTATCATGTCCCTTTGAGATAGCTGCTGTCATCATCATGACTCTGTTGGACTGAAAAATCGATGCACAAACAGGCTAGGTAACATTCTCAAGCTTTTACTGCTTGTAAGTGGTGAAGC